TATTGAATTCTCCTCTATTATCTATTAATTTATTTAATTACCTATATAATAATGGATTATATACTCTAGTTTTTATAATATTATTATAATCTATATATAGTGGTATATAACATAATAAGGTAAATATACTATACTGCCCTTATATTATATAGGTCAATATATAGTATATGTAATATACTATACTATATACCCTTAATACCCCATCATCATGACAGTCAACGGATCGCTCTGATTGGTTACTATGAATACACCTTTTTACCAGTAGTAAAATGGTTTGCTCACTGATTGGTGAACATGACCATAGTGCTAACCAATAGTTAATTGGATTGCTGTTATTGATGGACTTGGACACAACTCGCCTTCAAATTTAGAGACGTACCCCAACACCCAACCGAGGTCATTCCCACGGTTCCGTTCAGAGACGTGACGGTCGCACATTTGATTGTGATTATTGCCACTTATACCTCCTTCAAAATTTAGGAAGAGAATATACACTTAATGTTTTCCTTGTTACACTTTTAGAGTTGTTCTTTTCATGATCTGAACAGATTGTAGAAAGAAATGCAGAAGTCCCCTTCTTAACAATTTAATTTATGTATGAAAGCTAAGATCATTAACGTTACATGGTTATAGAGTATCTTTAATTATTATAGTCTAACTATAATTATATGTTATTTATGAAAATACCTTACCCCCACTAAAATTATATCGTATATATATAAGGTCATTAACAGAATTTTAATCAGTGTACTTTATCGTGTTTCGTCACTATAGATATTTCAACAAATAACTTGTGTTCATTTTCTATATAACCAGTTTCCTATTATCATAAAAGTAAGTATAATTTTAAACTTTATTTCATTTATAAAATGAATATTTCAATTAATAAAAAATAAATTTTATATCGAAACATACATCCTAACCAGTTTCCTCAAATAAAAGAAACAAATAGATGTTAAAATCGTTAAAAAGTCGTTTTAAAAGAAATTTATTCTAAATTTTAGGTAATAAAACGTCAACTATTAGTACAGTTAAAATCAACAGTTACTGGTTATATTGTATATTTTGGAAATACGCTGCTTCGTTGATACCTTTGTACAAAGTCGCAAAGATTTCCAGGTTGAACTAGATATATAACATTTATACGATTTTCTTTTTATATTTTTTTATAGATGGAATCACTCAAGAAAAAAATGATCAAACAAATAAACATCAAACCTAAGTATATACATATGGATTTTTTGAAAATCGGGTTGCAGTATGATATACTAGAAATGACAAACAAAAAAACTAAATTTGGAACTGCAGTTATGATTACAGTATCTAATGAAGACTTTAAAGGTTATGTATTTTTACCAAAAACAGTTAAAATGAGTGACGATGATTTGACAAATTATAATGAAAACATTGGATCAAATTTCTTTAAATTTGTATTTAAAGGTAGAGATGAACAACGATATATATTTGATATTATATAAACAATTTTTTCTTTTTTACATTATTAATATTTTTTAATCATATAATTGTAGCATTAAAAAAAAAATATAGTTTTTGATAATTTTATGTTTTAGCAATTGTTTACAATATATAATTAATATGTTTAACTAATATTAATTATTTCAAATATTGTAAATTTATTTTTACTGTGCAAGAATGTAATTTTTAAAATAAAACGTAATTTTTATTTGTTATAAAGTTAATATTTAAAATAATATTAACACATTGAAAGTATCTAATGTTCAATTCATTTATATTACATTTTTATTAATGGGAATGTAAATTTATTTTTACTGTGCAAGAATGTAATTTTTAAAATAAAACGTAATTTTTATTTGTTATAAAGTTAATATTTAAAATAATATTAACACATTGAAAGTATCTAATGTTCAATTCATTTATATTACATGTACATATTATTTTGTTTTCTGTATTTTCTTGGGTATCATCTGATTAGATAAATTAATAATAATAATACTAATTATTATTATTACATTAATACAAATAAATATATGTTTGTGTAATGAAAAAATCTGTTATTATTATAGTTTTCCCTGTTAAACAATATCAAATACTATTTTATACAATTCACTACGGTAATTAACCCGTAATATATGTTTATTGTACAACACAGATGTGGGCTTTCTTACGCGAGCACTCGTGTGTGTATATGTGTTTCGGTCAAGAGCAAACCGTTGAGTACTACTCCAGTAACATACATATTCTTATTTATATCATTGTATAGTATGCATTGCGAGTAAAATTAACGTCTTTAATGGTCTAGACTTAATACCTATTAATATAATCTAGTTATTTACGAATAATTTTTTAATTACATTTATGTTATAATTAATATAACATTTAAAAATTATGATTTAACAAAAAATAAAAGTACAGGCCGTTACATATTATATTAATTAATATATAAACAGATTCATTGTATATTATACAAGTTATTTTGTAACATAACTTTTTAGATTAATTTATTATAATAGAAATTACATTTGAAGAGGATTTCTGCATGACCTATATTTATATCGACTAAAACATGATAGACGTTCTATCGTTTATCTTTAGTCATAATATAATAGATTGAATACGAATTTGAAATACATATAAATATAAATATTATTATTTTAATTTCTATATCGTATGTGCATTATACTAATTTGTTCAATAATTTGCTACAAGATACTTGAACTCATTATAATTTATATCATTGCAGAATCATATTCTAAATTGCAAATCTGCTTTTTATTCTAGTTGACTTTTAACTAATTTATCGTCTGTCTGATTTTAAGTACATAAGAGATCATCTCATTAATAAAATGGTTTACGTTATAATTTATTATTTTTATGATTCGCAAAATCAATTGATATACATTCAGTATATACATCAGTTCAGTTTAATTCTTGCATATTGCCAAACAGTTGTATATGCATCATAATAAAAAATAAAAAAAAAAATGTCTGAAAATAGTGAAATTATAGAAATAAGTTCTGACAGTGAAGGAATTATTAGATTATCGGATATCTTAAACGGTTAGTAAATAAAAAAAATTAAAATAATAACATCGCAAAATAATAATTTCAACCATAAAATTATAAATATAATTATTTTAGATGATACTGACGAATTTAGTGAGATGGAAGATATAGACAATACTGATCAATCCGAGACATTAATTGTAATAAATAATATAATACCTGTAAATTGTAAGTGTAAATGTTGAATTATAACGGTGAAAATAATAATTTCATATACAGAGTGATTTTTTTTTTTTTGTTTTTATCATAACCCACTTAATTATTTACAGAATAATAATAATTTAAAAAAAAAATTTTTATTGATTATCTTTAGTTACACATTATTCTTGAGTTATTAACTATGTAATACTTTTTAAGTTCATCCCTTATGCCTGTTAAGGATGTCAACTTTATTTTTTTTTTAAATGGTAACATATATTTTTATTTTAACAAAATGTTTGAGTTTTTAATTTAATAGTAAATGGTATTTGAATTTTAAGTATAACTTTATTTGTTTATTAGATATAAACATTTAAAGTTTCAAATTTTTGAGTTAATATACATATATATTACACAAAGGATTACAAATACAGATAGCTAATTAGTTTTTATTACATTAATATTAGCAGGTACACAGCATTGTTATTATCAAAGGTAGTAAGGCACATATTTATGAATTTTAAATACAGTAACTGACAATACAGATAGTATATCTATTGATAGTCATAATTGATAAAAAACAATCAGTGACTTTGATAGTCAATGTCATAAAAAACAACTTTAAGTGTTTATATCTAATTAACTAATAAATTTATACTAAAAATTCAAATGCCATTTACTATTAAATTAATAACTAAAACATTTTATTAAATTCAAAATATATGTTACCATTTAAAAAAAAACAAAGTTGACATCCTTAACAGGCATAAGGGATGAACTTAAAAAGTATTAAAAAGATAATAACTTAAGAATAATGTGTAACTATTATTAATTATTACTAATTATTATTCTGTAAGTAATTGAGTGGTTTATGATAAAAACAAAAAAAAAAAAAATCACTCTGTATATAAAATACAAATATTTTTAAAATTATAATTTTAGCTCTAAATTACAACGGTAGAACCATCATGTTTACGGTAAACGGTGTGCAGTGTGAGTATACATTATCATGTACCAACACATAAAATAATTATAAATTAGTAAATTATTTATTTTTTATAGCATCCTATACAACTGACAAACCAAATGCAATAATCAAACCTGTCAGACACGGGCAATATTTCCATTGTAAGTTATTTATTTAGTAGCATATTTTTTTTTTATTTTCTATTAATTTCAATTTTACAAAGTAAAAATAATTTTTTTTTTGTTAATCAAAGATGATTTTTTCTATCAGAATAATTATTTCTGTGTTTTTCAACAACTTGAAAGTTTTTTACCTTGGTTCCTCGTCTGTTAAGGATCTATTAAAATTCATCATCACAGCTACTTCTCTCGCTGCTAAAACATTCACAACATACGTCGATTTAACTTTATTATAGCCATGAATGTAACTTTCATTTTCAAGCCTAGTTTTTAGGACATAATTTATAAAATCATATTCAATGTTAAGTGATAAAAAATTTTTTTGTATTTTCTGTTACAAATTGATAAATAACGATGTTTTCTTGAATTAAGTACATTGAAATTCGATTTTTTTTTAATTAGCTTCAGCTTTATTGTTTAAGAATTTTATCATTTTTTCTGTATTTGTTAAATCGTTGAGAAAAAAAAAAAAGATTTAGCTCTATTCAAATCGATCTGAAAAGTATCATATAATTAGACGTTTAGGTAAATTTCATAATCAATATAGGTCTTAGAAATTCCATATTACAAAATGGTTTTATGTTAAAAATACAACATTTTACATATACTGATGATTATAATTAACTAAAAAATTTAGAATTTGAATCACATTTTAATAATTAGAATGTATTTATAGTAAAAAATACGAAAAACGCGTTGAATGACTTGTAAAAAAAAATTTTTTTATATATGTTTCCATTTGAAAAAATAACGTTGAAACATTTATAAATCACAAGGGATGAACATAAAAAAATAATATTAATTAATTGAGAACAATATTCAACTATAAGAACCTAGGAATTATTTTTTTCAAAATTATTTTTTTTTTATTTTTATGAGTAATTGAACGGTTCATGATTCAGAGATCACCCTGTATACAAATATACATTCTACAGTATTATTACATATATCGCACCCCTAGATCTAAACTGTTGTAACTCATAAAACCTCTTTTTTCACAATTCAAGAAAAACTGATATGAAACTTGCATGCTGTCATTCAAGTAAACTGTCTTCTAGCGCTTTCTATTGGAAACTAAACAAGATATAGTTACTACAGTTTTATTCTCATGTAGGTAATAGAATCAGAAATCCTAAAATGAACAGTATATCAAAAATCGCATTTTTGAGTTACAAAAGTTTAGATCTAGGGGTGCTATATCATATATTCATTGATCTTATAAAATATGAGATAGCGTTTTACCCCTCCTCGTGAATCCAGCGATAAATGATTTTTAAGTCCCCTCTTTTTAATCTCTAAATATATTAATGATTAATAATTTTCCTCTCTTATTAATATTTAATAACTGGAGTATAGTCGACTGTGTTCTGCATTGATGTAGAGTAATTTTGTTTTCTTAGTCTTCGCTAAACTTTCACCTTCAAGTGTCTAATATACTATCTTCTTAAATTATCAGATATTTTACTTTATTGTTTTATGTATATTTATTATCACAAAATTCGATTATTAATAGTATACCTACTAACATGAATAATATTATAAAAGAAACTAGATTGGATAACGAATGTGTGTTATCTTTTTCAAAATTAACCCACAACGCTTTCCGACCTTACAAATCAAGCAAGTACGCTGCTGGATATGACTTGCGAAGGTAACATTATAAATCACCTAATTAAAATTTTAGGAAGTACAAAATTTTAATATTTTTAGCGCGTATACTTATACAGTCAAAGCGCACGACAAAGAATTAATCAAAACCGACATTCAAATAAAACTTCCTCGTGGTACATATGGACGAATTGCACCCAGATCTGGACTAGCGATGAAAAATTTTATTGACGTTGGAGGTTACTTTATTTAATACGATTAAAACCTTATTTTTTATAATTAATTTAAAAAAAATTTTTAGCTGGTGTTATTGATGAGGATTATAGAGGAAATGTTATTATAGTATTGATCAATCATTCAGATCATAATTTCAGTATTAATCCTGGTGATAGAGTAGCTCAATTAATTTGTGAGAAAATTGTTTATCCTGAATTGAAAGAAATTAATGTAATTATTAATATATAAAAAAAAATATATATTTTTAGATAATCTATTTATACATTTTTTTAGAATCTGGATGAAACAAATCGAGGTGAATGCGGATTTGGTTCAAGCGGAATTCATTAGATTCCTAAAATATTTTTACCTGGACTTTATTTTTATTTATTATTATTAAATTATAATTAATATATATATATATATGTTTTTTTTTTTTTTTTTTCAATACGTTTGCTTTAAAATTAACAAAGTTGACAAATAAGCTTTAGATTTAAAATAAACTCAATCATCGATTGGATAAGGATTATAACTTTAAATTTAAGATCTTTTTTCGTGTAAATTCATTACTTTATACAAATAATATTATAATAAATATTAAAAATTTTAGTAATTTTATTTTGCATTATTATTATTTAAAATTATTCTATTGTTTCAATATCATATATATTAATCATTACATTTATTTACAATTTAATTCAGTAAAATATGAGGTTTATAAATTTTAAAACTATATTTACAACACTTATATTTACAAAAAACATTATCATAAAATTCAATTACATCGTTTAGCATACAATTTATTTTACATTTTATTAATATATTTGTCACTATTGAAATTCAACGAGTTTTACAATTGATTATTTTATTTATGGGCTAAAAAATACGTATAGTACTTACTATAGGTTATTAAAACCTATTGTATAATAATCTGGTATTATCAAAATACAAAGTGGGTAATTATTTTGTTTCAATTATAAAAATAAGATATTAATTAAGGATTTATTATAATATCAATTCTAAATTACATTTATTTACAATTCAATTCATTAAAATATTACATTAAAAAAATCTTAAAACTATATTTACAACTATATATATATACAACACTTATATTTACAAAAACCTTAACATAAAATTCAATTACACGGTTTATCATACAATATATTATACATTTACAATATATTTTATATTTATCAATATGGATATTTAAAGAGTTTTACAATCTTATTATGACTATAAAAACTAATGTTGCTTAAATTTCTTCCGATGGAATGGCATAATGACCGTAAGCCAGCGTGTCAACTCTGTTGTCGAGCGTGTAGCGCTTATCGTCGAAACGGTTAAGCGCCAACTTGGTTGTACGTAAAGTGCGTACCTCGTGCTCGAAAGAACGAATTGACACGTTCTGTCGGTACGGAGTGTACGGTAATGATAATGTCGGTGGAATCTCACCATCACGTACGGCTCCGATGACTACACGGGCATTGTCTCCGGCCAACGCTCGTTTTGACGCATCGTCACCATCGTCGCCATCGTCTTCAAACAAACATCGTTTGTAATCGTCCAAAGACAGATGGTTCCGGACGACATGTCCGCGGATCCCCTTAGACTTGATGAATTCGCTGCCTTCCATGTCAAATGCATAGCACTTTGAACGAAGTGCAGCGATCTCAAAGAGGGTGAGGCCGCCGGTCTCGTCTGAAAACAGACCAGGCGTCTTCTTCCTCGAGGTCGAGTAACAAGGGTGATCCTTGGGCAGGCTAGATGCGTCCACGTACACCAGTAAATCGGGGCTGTCGGCTAAATCCTGGTAGAAGTCGCTGACTCTGAGCAGGTATATGAAGGAGTCTGAGAAAAATTAAAAATATATAAATATTGTAAAAATATTTCTACTGTACGGTTGTACTCACCAGTATCCATGTAAACCAGGCTAATTGCGTCGCCATAATGAGGTTTTAATACGTCGTAGAAGTACATGTACATTAGCGACTAGCTAATGTCAAGCACTGCTAAACCTACGTATATTGGTTTGAGAAACTTGACAATCTTTGTGTCCATTATGACGGCGCACAACCTTTCGCCGTATTTAATACAGTCGTTGAAGGTTGGTTGGTTTACGAGCTTGCTTAGACGTTCGGGACTGGAGATTAGTTCAATGCGGATGCGTTTCCGCATGTTCTCCATGGTTTTCCCTATAAAATATAAATATTTATCAAATAACTCACAACTACTTTACCATTGAGCGTGCACTTACCAAAGACGGCATTATTCATTAATTTGAAAAACGATATTTCAAAAGCATTTGCCGCCTGTTTCCGCATTTCAGTGTTCAACTCAATGTACGGTTTCAACCAAGCACTTTGTTGAAACTCTAAAACGCGGTGCACCTGCAGTACAAATATTTATATTAGTATCATCGTTTATAGTTTATAGGTTAATTATACATACTTTATCGACTCGCAGTCCGTGTGCGATCGCCTGTTTAAGATTAACGTAATGTACGACGTACCGCTGTTTGGGTTTCAAAGTGGCCATGAGTTTGGTCTCTTTGGAACCCGGTGGTACATCGTTGACAGGCAAGAACGGCAAGTCGTTGTGCTCGTCATGCAGCCCTTCTGGATACGATACATCTACTTCATATATACGCCCCGTATTACCAGTGTCCGAAAGCAATTGGAGGTCGGCCAGAGGATCTGATCCTTCATACCACCGGAAGCCACCGTACGGCATGGGCTGACTCATAGCCCACCCGTAAAGGTTATTGCCTATATACATTAAACGTTTTTAATTCACAGCTCAATTATTGTACTTTTATATATAATACTTACAATCTTGATACACGATCCATGAGTTTGGTTTTGTCGGATCGTAGCCAGGTGTCTTTGGATTGTTGGCCTTGGCATAGTGCTTGACGGCCTGCACCAGCCCACCACGAATGCCCTGTTCCACCATCAGTAGCATGTCGTAATCGTTCAAGAGCTCCAGCTTCACCCTGGTGTACTTCAACATACAATCGAAGCTAAAACCCGGTGCGGTATAATAGTGCGCCGGGTCCAAATTGTATGTTGTAGTACAGATGTCGCGAAAGTTCTCAAACACGTCGGCCAACAACAGCACGTCAATCTTTAGGTATAGGTCACTGTACTCACCGAGGGTTGAGCAACCGAAACGATTCCACACCTCTGTGGCGTGTCTATAGTCGTCGTCATCGATATTCGACTCATTCAACTGACTATAGAAAGCGTCGCGGGGTGGTAGTACCGTTTCGTCCAATTTAGCCCAACTATCAGTGTACTCGTAGGGGTATACGCCCTTACGCGTTACCAACGGCATGTCTTCCGGGCGGAACACCTTGGCCGTCTCCCGGAATTTAACGAAATCGGGTGTCATTAGGTTACCGGCCAAGGTGGACAGGGAGGAGGCCATGAACCGGAAGGTGTCGACAAACCGTATGGAGAAGTTATTGGTCACGTGTTTCGTGACCGAAATATACTTCTCCTCGGAATTCGGTATGACCGAAATCCTTTGGTCGTCGTACCCCAATTCAGTGACGATGAAATGCGCGTCGTAACCCGAAAGATTGTGCAAGAAGCACGGCACAAAATTGACCGTCTTTACTTTCAGGTTACATGCATTGCACAACGTCTGTCTGAATCGGCCCGATAGATGGCAGTGGTCTGCGACTTTGGGGTTGGAATCCTTGAATGCCATGCGGCACAAGTCGCATACCACTTTCTCCCCGTGCCTGCGCACATCATCGATAGACATTCGGATGGGAACGTTGGTTTTGCGCAACAATTTAGAAATGTTGCGCGTCACTTCAGTTACAGCCATCACAAATGCCTTGGCGACCTCTTCGCGATCCTCGGACCCACGGTATATCACCGGTGATTGCGGTATACCGTAGCGTTCGAGGAGCTCGGAGGGCACATCGTCCGATGTTTTCACCATGTACCCATAGCTCATGGGGTGGTGGGTGTGCACAGTCCTGGTGTATGCACCCATACGATCGTCTGTTTTCTCCAGCAAGGCCTCAAAATCGGCGTAGATGACAAACGGTAACCGTTGAGTCTTTACCCACGCGTCAAATTCGACCTTACTGCCCTCCGCCGGCATAACGGGTAAAATAGGCTTGTTCTTGCCGCATATCAACTTGTGTTGCTCCAACGCTTGATGACCCCGAAGAATATGCTTTTTAGGCTGATCATCAAAGCTGGTGAAGCAACGTTTGCAAGTGTATATGCGACCTAGGTGTTTGGTTTTTTGACTGCGCACAAGCCTCGAAAAATTTGAAATGTACGCGTAATGATACTTGTCAGAGTCACCGATATACAACAGGTCAAAATGATTTTGTTGCTCTTGGTCGGCGACTCTTAGCGGATACACCGACCACTTCATATTAACATTGTCCCGTTCCAAGCCGTACACGTTGACGGACACGTTGGGGTTACGTCGTTCAAATATTTTAATTTGGGACACTAGTGTGGGGAACGTTAACTCCGTGAAATCATACCTGTGTTCCTCGTTAAAATATTTTTGATTAACACGCGTATTATTATTAACCTCAACGTGTCGGGCTAAAATGGCCCACTTGAAACAGGACTGATCGATGTTTTGTGGGTTGATGATTGCCTTTCTATGTAAAATTTCGTTTGGGACCGGAATATATGATGAGCCGGTGAGGGGCGTATACTTGTATACACTGAGCATGAGACCGTCGATATGCGCTAGCGTGAATCCGCTACCCCTACCCGAGTACGCGTCTTCCTCGGCAAGCATAATCTCGAAATCGTCATTGACCGCACCTACAATATCCGTGTCGGACAACAACGCCCTAGCCCGTGTCTTGAAGGCACGGTCCTCGGGCGGTGCTTCTGATCGCGGTATATGGTAAGAGGCCTCCAATTTGAGATTATATTTAATAGGCTGAACAGCTGTGATTTCACCGAGTTTGGCAACCAGCTCGGGTTTAACGGCGCGCAGAAAATCTCGATAGCTCGCGAAATTTTCCACGTTTTTCCTATAAAACCAAATGACTCCTCGCTTCAATGCGGAATCAATCTCGATGAAATTTTTCGCGTCCGGCAATTGTATACGCAACCTTTTGGATTTTACCCTACTGTTGTTAGCCCTACGTTTAACCGAATGGTGGTTTGGAACAGTCGTGGAAGAGGTGGCTGTGAAAAAATGTGTAAAAACAATTTGTNGAGTTTGGTAACCAGTTCGGGTTTAACGGCGCGCAGAAAATCTCGATAGCTCGCGAAATTTTCCACGTGTTTCCTATAAAACCAAATGGCTCCTCGCTTCAATGCGGAATCAATCTCGATGAAATTTTTCGAGTCCGGCAATTGTATACGCAACCTTTTGGATTTTACCCTACTGTTGTTAGCCCTACGTTTAACCGAATGGTGGTGTGGAACAGTCGTGGAAGAGGTGGCTGTGAAAAAATGTGTAAAAACAATTTGTGCGTCGAAAATATCGAAATATACAAACAAAAAAACTTACCTTGTGCAGCACCAGT